GGCCACTTCTCTCCAAAACCCTGCTAATTATATCTTGATGTAGTCTATGACATACTCAAAACAAGAACGTATAGTAGTGTAGTTGACATGCATCTCCCTCAATGTTCCCCATGGTATGTATACCTTTACTGTAGTCTCCCCAAAGCAGAAAGAATACAGTGTATATTATATATGCTTAATTTGTGGTAGCTCAGAATAGCCATTTGGGGTTCTGAGTATCTGTATTGCACAAAATGCCCAGAAGACATATAAATCCCATGGGAGTTCCAGAGGAATATGTTCAATTATTATTTGCAAGACATGAAGATATAAGGTTCTAATTGGAGAACTTACCTGGTAAATGGTGCATGGAGAGGAGGGAGGAATACATTGTATCCATTCGTTACATCACCACAGTTTCACCAATGAGAGTCAAAAGTGGGTTGGAGGTAGGGATGGGATAGCTAGAAAGAAGTTTAAAAGGAATTACAGAGATTGACAAGACAAGATAATGATTTCAGAAGATTATATATGGAGCAGGACAATGGTACGTGGATAGTCACTAACATTCTAGCCATATCTCTGTATCCACCAAAACACATATTCAAAACATCCTGCCTTCCTTACCTGATCAATACTCTTTGAACAACCTACTAGCTACCCCAGCCTTAAGTGAACCCCACACCATATATAATAAACACCACCAAGATATGATTAGGAACTTGTTTGGAGAGAAATAGTCCAGTAACAGTGGAAATACTATACTCATGACTGGTGGGCAGAATGGGGGCGGGATTACACCTATTGGAGAAACTAGTGCCTGATTTAGTAATTGTCGGTCAAAAATGATGGCATTGAGAGGGGGCACCAGGCGGATGGTGTGAAAGTTATAACTAACTTGTCTCTTTGGCATTGGTGTATGAATGGCTCCGAGCTCGGGGAACAACTCTCATGAGTTGTGTTATCTTGTCTGCTCGGTAATATTACACCCAGACTGAAATGATACGGATGCAACCCAGGCATGTTCAGTGATATACTTCACTTGTAGGCTCGGTAGTGGTCCACTTGAACAAAGCATGGTTGAAGTACTTCCGGGCATTTTTACCAATTGAATCCACTCAGTTGTGGCTTTGCAGCCGGGCACGGGGGTGGCTGAAGGACTTTAATATTTAATCACTAGCATTACCCGGGGTGAGGCCTGGGCATTTTTGCTAATCTGGTTCACTTGTCTGCTTGGTGATTATGCATCTGGACATGGCAGCAGCTGAAATACTTGGACAGTTTAATATGAAATCGGTTCTGTCATCCAAGATGCAGCCCGGGCATTTTTACCGATTTAATGCACTTGTCTGCTCCATGATTTTGCACCCGGACCAACTAAGGTAATTCAACAATTTAATATGAAATTACCAGCATCACCTGACATGCAGCCCAAGCGTTTTTACCGATTTGGTTTATTTGTCTGCTCGGTGATCTTCCATCTGGCCTCGGCACCAGCCAAAGTACTTCACCAATTTAATATTGAATCGGCTCTATTATCCGAGACATAACCCGGGCACTTTTACCGATGTAATTCACTTGTCTGCTCGGTTATTTTCCACCCAGCCTCGGCACAAGCCAAAGTACTTCAACAATTTAATATTAAACATGTTCTATTATGCGAGATGCAGCCTGGGCAATGTTATCGATTTAATTCACTTATCTGCTCGGTTATTTTTCACCCGGCCTTGGCACCAGCCAAAGTACTTCACCAATTTAATATTGGATCGGCTCTATTATCCGAGACATAACCCGGGCACTTTTACTGATTTAATTCACTTGTCTGCTCGGTTATTTTCCACCCAGCCTCGGCACAAGCCAAAGTACTTCAACAATTTAATATTAAACATGTTCTATTATGCGAGATGCAGCCTGGGCAATGTTATCGATTTAATTCACTTATCTGCTCGGTTATTTTTCACCCGGCCTTGGCACCAGCCAAAGTACTTCACCAATTTAATATTGGATCGGCTCTATTATCCGAGACATAACCCGGGCACTTTTACTGATTTAATTCACTTGTCTGCTCGGTTATTTTCCACCCAGCCTCGGCACAAGCCAAAGTACTTCAACAATTTAATATTAAACATGTTCTATTATGCGAGATGCAGCCTGGGCAATGTTATTGATTTAATTCACTTGTCTGCTCGGTTGTTTTCCCAGCCCTTTGAAAGTACTTCAACAATTTAATATCACCCGATGTGCAGCCCAGGCATTTTTACCAATTTCATTCACTTGTTTGCTCGATTATTTTGCATCCGGACATGGCACCAGCCAACGTACTTCAACAGTTTGGGATTTAAATGCCTGCATCACCCGATGTGCACCTTTACTGATGTAATTCATGTCTGCTTGGTGTAATTTCACCCGGACATGGTGCCAGCTCACACATCCTTTCCCTGAAAAATGCACTGGCCCAGACACAATGATTTAATATGGAATCGGCTCAATCACTCAAGGTGAAACCCGGGTATTTGTACTATTTCCCACTTGTCGGCTCCATTATTTTGCATCTGAACATGTTTGATTGGCTGTTTCCATGCATTTATACAGATTCAATGACCTTGTCTGCTCAGTAACTTTGCACCAGAATACAGGACCAGCTAATGTACTCACTGGCCTGATGCAAACATAAAACCAGAGGGTGATTTGAATGCAGGACATGGCAAAGAACACTGGGGGGTTGGTACAACATATGAACAAGTAAACTTAGTTAGGCCATGTGTTAGCCAGGCTGGCTATCATCACGGGACAGATGGCAACATAAATTGTTTAATTGGAGACAAGCCAAAGAATGGTAGGGAGTGTGGTGCCGACTGGGCCAGGCCATATCCAGGCTGGAGATGGCAACAGATGGGGGCCGGCCTCATCTCTGCTTGGGGCTCACAATGAGATTCATGACCTCGGGTATGTAAACTGACTTTGCCAAGCCAGGGTGCGGCAAGTGGGCTGATCCATATTGTGAGGAATCAAAAGCTGTTCAGCTGACCCACAATCCAAGGCAATTTCAGCAGGGTCAATTCATCATTAGGCTGGTCGGCCGGCACACAGAACCAGTCCTCAAGAAGATATGGGTGGCCGAGCCAGCTTTGATGGGGTCAACATATACATCGGCTCATCAGCAGGCACCATCAACCATGGCCTGTTTGTATGGTCAGGGGGCTCAGTGTTGTTGGGGTAAGGTCACTAATACTTGTGCACTACCATGCAACCACAATGAATTATGGCAGGCATTACAGGAGAAATGGACAAGGATTGACATTGACTATATTACATGTTTGTATGACAGCATTCCAGATCGGGTGGATGCAATTTGCAAGGCAGGTGGAGGAGAGACTTGCTATTAATTGTATGTCTGTTTACCATATCTATTGAATGCTCAACTGGCATTTCTGACCACAAAGGATGTCTTCACATGACATCCAGCAAAAGTCATGCACCACCTTTTTTCAATGCTACATGGATTGCTCATTTAATATGGGCTCTGGATACAAATAATTTGACACATATTTAGACTATATCTAAACCATTCATCACCCCTAATTTGAAGGAGAAAGGGTGCTCACGACATGTGTCAGCAGAGGCTTCTTGCAACGTACTCATGCATTAAAGCCACATCTTTTGAGCTCCCATCACAGTGTATTGATGCTGACATTCAGAAATTCCTTCTGTTGGAGGTCTGTCACATTGCATGCTGATCCACTGGAGAGCTTTTGTAGGGCAATATGCATGTCATAGTCATCCAACTTGTGTGGGCGACCTGACCAATGCTTCTTCTCATAAAATTTTCACATTTTCCCATAATGGCCATAAATGCAGGAGACAGTAGATGGGTTGACATTCTCCTTCTCTGCCGCATCATGATTGGTGTGCCCAAGGTCTTTGAGTTGAACAATGCATGATTTCTTTGTAGGCATAGTCTCAGTCATGAGTCAGGAGGGTGACTGTCAAAAAAGGGTGCAAAGATTCATTGTAGTGTCCTCAAAAGATGAGGGATGGGTGGTGGTTGATGTGTTTGGAAATAGCTGTAAAAGTCCTGCACCAGCAATTCATGATGTTACATGTCATTCTCCTCTATTTCTTGTCTCCACTACAAATCACTTTACCTGCATTTTTGCTACATACCATAGATATTACCTGTAAAGTAAGAACCCCCCAATCTCTAGCGTGTTTAACAGATGCATTTATGACTTGGCCTCACATGATGCAAGACTTTTGCCAAGTCACTGTACCTCCTTAATTGTAGCCACACATAAAATAATGAAGTGAATGTGCATCCCAAAACCATGAATTCTCAAAATTTCAAAATGAAGAACAATAAGAACATCAACCACATTCAATTTGCATATTTAAACAATTTCTTCATGAAATAGTCTTGGTAGCAATGGCAACACCATTCAGCTGAAGAATATGTTAAAGAATAAAACAGTGGAATTAGCCAGTCAATATGGCTGACATTCTTATTGTTTACCAGTTTGAGATTTTGTTAATCAATGTTTGTGGGATGCACAACAGGTTTATTATTCTACAAGTGTCAACAACTATGGAGGTACCTTTGCCTAGATCACACCTAGGGCCAGCGACTGAACATCCACTGAAATCAACCTACATGAGGGGGTTGTGGGATTCATCACAACCACTGCTGATGGTCACATGACTCACATCTTGTCACAATTAATCTAATTGATATCTACTTGTGCCCAATTCACTGTTTTCTCTTCTTCCCCCCAGGCCAGACAACAGTCACCATCTCAGCTCTATCTTGCTTAAGTACCTCCTTGATTTCCTATATCCCATTGCTATTTTGGAGCTTGTATTCCTCTCAGTGTGCTTTTGTGGCAGCCAGTGGAACTTTCATGGAAGCCTCCTCTGAAGATGAAACAAACATCGTCTGCCCTGGTAATATTTGAGTCATGGTCTATATATCCTGAGAGTGCTCACTAAGCAAATGGAGGTTGGCTCGGTTATATGAGAGTGAGGTTTGGTTGGCATTTTGAAAGGAACTAGGAAAGTGGGCAGTTGGAAAAAAAGTGATTTCATTTCTCTACATATTGGATGGCTCAGTGGCAGCTCATTTATGTTCAGAAAGGGTCTATCTATGTCAAGCATGATTGAAAGTGCAACACACATAGAGCACATGCCACATCAGCATGACAACCCTTTTGGGACTGCACATGATTAATCCCATGACCCCCTCAGGTAGGTTGATTTTAGCAGATGCTTGGTCGCTGGCCCCTTGGATCACACATTGGACTGTCTCAAGTAGGGGGCATGATGGAGTAGTGGTCCATTTGCTCTGAACATTTGGGTGTTGAGGCATCCAAGTGGTTGAGGGTTTGAAACCTGCCCCCCACCACCACCAGACTACATGTTGCCACCAGGGGTTTCTCACCACTATCTGCATTGGTCATCTGCTGAGGGTGTGTGGCTGTGAAGCTGGTTTATGGGAGTCTCTGTAGGGGATGTCACACCAGAGCTGGGGTACTGGCCCCAGGGTATGGGAGGATTATGCTGAAAGGCCTGCCCAAGTGAAATGCAAAATTGGTGCCTGAAAGATGGCCCCACTACCATATTGAGGGGTTTGCCACATCCATAATACAATGGTTCACACTGTTTACAACCCTATTACCACTACCTTCAAGTCAGCTTGCTTACTAATCACACACACACAGGATAAATCTACCCACAGTCCTGGTTCAGTATGCCCTTGGATGGGCCTCTACTAGCTTGCCATTCTACGGAGCCACCCAGGGGGATAGCTGGCGTTATCAGGAATTTGCTGGAGGATTTGGGGGTAGAGGTTATATTCAAAAATAGTTCAGCCAGGTCACAAAGTTGGATAAAGGATCTTGTAAATAATATCACCAACCCATGACACACATGACAGTTGTAGGTATACATCTTAGCCTGGGGGGGGCCTACATACCATATATAGCTTAGATAGCTGGGATTGGATGTAGTGGTATATGGGTGTGCCTTGCTTACGAGCATGGCTATAAAAGATTCACAAGGGGCAAACAGGGTTTGTTGCCTGGTAAAGAGGTAATAAAAAGCAGATAATTATGTTAAATAGTTAACTCCACATTAGTGCCTAAAATGTCTAAATAAAAAAGATTCATTGTTATTAGCCACGGAAAGGTGATATCATGTATGTAAAATATTTATTGGTGGTTTGTTAGTGCAGAAATGACCGAGAAACAAAAGAAATTGTTGCCAGGAAAGGAAGATAAAGAAAGACCCTGTTTTTCCTTGGCGAAAATGATGAAACAACTAGTTAATGTCATTGAAAGGTCTTTCTCGGCACTGTAAAAGGCAATAAAGGAAATTAAATTTTACCCTCTAACCCTGAGAGATAATTTTAATTCTTTGTTCCTGTT